GGGGAGAGCGGGAAACACCCACATGAGAGCCACACGCTGCTTGGGGAGGCCTCTCTCCCGCCCAGGACCCTGCACCTCAGGTCCATCCCGTGACCGATAATTGGACCCAAGGCCCTTGGATCCGTGAGCCAAAGCTCTAACCAGTGGGCCAAACCAGCGAGGGCCGAAGGGCCATTCTTTTTTTTTTAAGCATATTTTTATTAATTTCAGAAAGGAAGGGAAAGGGAGAGAGAGATAGAAACATCCATGATGAGAGAGAACTATTGATCAGCTGCTTCCTGCACTGGGCATCGAGCCACAACCAGGGCATGTACCCTGACCGGGAATTGAACCCAGGACCTTTTGGTGCATGGAAGGATGCCCAACCAGCTGAGCCACACTCTATCCTTGATCCCTTACATCTTTTGTCTCTTGATGCTTTATTCTGGATATTTTTACAGTCTCCAGTTGCGCTGCCCCAGGACACAAGGGGGAGCAGGTGGGAAACAATCCGGAGGTCTCAGAGGACCACAAGCTCAGGGGGTCGCAGAGACACCAATGGGGCTGCCAGTGCTGCCTGGACAGACCGGGACCCGGCTGAGAAGGGGGAGCCCCTTCCCTCTTCCCTCCCTGGAGATCCTGGGCCCGCGAGTCAGGCAGGACCAGCAGGCACAGCCTCCCAGATAGATCCCAGTTGCCAGACGTTGGGAAAGCCCCGGGGAAGCCCCAGTGGGGATTGTTGAGAGGCCGAATTTCAGGGGGCACTATATATATATATATACTAGAGGCTCAGCACATGAAATTCGTGCCCTGGGGGAGGGGGTCCCTCAGCCCAGCCTGCACCCTCTCGCAGTCCGGGAGCCCTTGGGGGATGTCTGACTGCTGAGGAGGTGGGCGAGGCAGCCGTGAGCCCGGCTTCTGGCTGAGTGGAGCTCCCCCTGTGGGAGCGCACTGACCACCAGGGGGCAGCTCCTGCGTGGAGCGTCTGCTCCCTGGTGGTCAGTGCGCATCTCAGCGACTGGTCGTTCCGCCGTTCGGTCGATTTGCATATTAGCCTTTTATAATATAGGATATTATTGATTTCAGAGAGGAAGGGAGAGGGAGAGAAACATCAATGATGAGAGAATTATGGGTCAGCTGCCTCCTGCACACCCCACACTGGGGGTCAAACCCACAACCTGGGCACGTGCCCTGACCTGACCAGGAATCGAACCCTGACCTCCTGGTTCATAGGTTGGTGCTCAATCCCTGAGCCATGCTACCCGCTACCCGGAGTCGGGCTTGGGGAGCACTTTCTGAGCCCAAGTCGTCCAGTGGTGGCAGCTGGTTGGCTGTGGGAGGTGGGGGCTCATCCCACACACACCTGCTGGCACCGTGGGGTGCTGCTGGGCACGTGCGGCCGGTGCAGGAGGAGGGAGGAGGGAGGAGGGAGGAGGGAGGAGCAGGGGGAGCCGCGCCCTCACCGCCCGCCCGCCCACAGAGCATCCACCTGAGCTTCCTGCGCACGGTGCCGCCCTACTCCCACCAGTCCAGCGTCTGGTTCGAGATGATGCGCGTCTACAGCTGGAACCACG